AACATTAAAACAGAGTAATGTTATTCTGAATTTAGTTTGCCATGCTATGTAGCTGCCTGTTTACTGTACACTTACGGTGCCTTCTTTCTGTCTTTGTGATTTAACTCCCACATGATCTTAAACACAACGGACTGGGCTATAAAACAAAAAATATAATTGGGCCAAGTTATTTTTGGAGTCTCAAACATTTGTCCAAATAGTAGCAGGAAAAAATTCAAGACACATGACTCAGTAGTCCATCTGATCAGTCCATGGCATTAGATTTCAACACCATTAATTAAATCAGGTTCTTACAAAAACCAGAACTTATGAGTATTGGATTTAATTTCCTTTTTCTTCAACGAAGGTGTGACTGTTTTAGAGACTAGAAAATAATACAAAGTAGACTATACATAGAGTTTTGTTCCTCTTTTCCAAAACAATACTAAACTAGAAATAAATGAGAGTGAAGCAAGAACCTGAAGAGATTTGTTCATGAATTTACTTTTTGAAGTATTAAAGAAATTTGTTTGAGGATGCTAGAGGTTTTCTCCAATTGTATGTCTAAAGGAATAAAAATACTAAAAAAAGATGAAAAAACCCCAAAGTATTCATTTAGTTGACCAAACAAGCGTATTGAATTTAAACTAGAGTTGCACCAAATATATTAGTAATTGTCATTGTGTTCTTACTTTCCATCTTGTCCAGTAGCATTTTCAAGTGCCAGAAGCCAATACCAGAGACCTTAGAAGAAACTGCTTGAACTTTTCAAAGATCATAACAAACAAACAAACAAAACAAAACAAAACAAAACACCAAAAACCAAGAAACCACAAATTCCTTTACCTTCTCCTTAAAAAAGAAGATATTTCAGTAAGATATTTGACAGCTCATCATGCTTTAGAATAAAGTATTTTCTTGTCAGAGCCTCTTCTGCAACATGTAGCATTTCATACACTGTCAGTAAACTGGTATTCCACTATTATGAGGTTAGTTGTAGTTGTTTGCACAGTCAGCTCCTTTCATAATACTCTTAAGTCAATCAAGGGTCCTTCAGAAATACCAGACCTGAAGTTATAACAAATATACTTAAAATATATACCTGGCAGGTGCTATTGATCTTGCTGCAGCAATTCTACATTCTTTTTTTAAACAATAGGTTAGGATGTTATTTCATAAAAAATAGAAAATGGAGAAAAGTGCAGTTACTTCTATATTGGAAAATATGATATCTTTTTGTTCATAGCTGCTTTCTGCCTTTTTGATGGAAATGATTCCCATCTTGAACACTTATAAAAAATACAGCTTTGTAAAAAAAAAAAAAAAATCCTTCATACAGGCTGTTTCAGACCGATATTTCAGCTTGATTTTCCTCTGTTTAGCAAGGGAGTCTTTCAGATATATCAAAATGACACATTATTTGTGCCTCCATTCTGAAGGGAACTCTGATCTCTTGAAATTCAGAGTAAAAAAAAAATAAAAATTCAGTGATTTGTAAATAAAAAAGAAAGCATCTGTTCTCATTTTCAACAAAGGAATGCAAAGGAATATGACAATGCTGACCTGGAGCTTCTGTGGCTCCTATAACACCTACAACAACACAATTAATTCCATGAGAGAAGGCATCCAGGTCAGCAGGTTTCCAATCTACACACAGATAATTTTAAAAAGGTTCATTTTGAAATTTCATCTCTGGTCATGAAGAAGATTCAAGTTTGTGTTTACCTCCCAGCCACAAATCCAACAATCTGGTTGTTTTTAAAACAAAACCACAGACAAAGATGGATGATTGTAGTATATTATATCTTGGTTTCAGAGCCTCTCCAGAACTGTTGCTGATGCATGCCCCTCTTTTTTGCAATAGACTCATAAGCTACCTGCTCATCCCTTTTCAGTTTAAAGGCAGTGGTCTCCAAAAACTTCTCAGAACTTTCACTGGGGCACAGGCAGACTTCAAGACCAGCTTCAAGTGCATTCTTCAAATTCCCCCGGTGCCATTGTTCCACACTCCAGTTTCATAGCTGTCCCCACCTTGTCAAAACTGGGCTAGATGTGTAGAGCTCCAATCGTTGCAATAATCCAGCAGTACCTTCATCCATCATTTTACAGCTACCTGTCTGCAGATGCCCCAGCACCCTTGCCATGTAAATGGCAGAATTGCAAGTAAAGGATATTGTGGCACACAGTCACAGAATTCTCTAGGATATCACCCTTCTGTGGTTTCTCGCCTTCTTTCTATGTTTTCTCTCATTTCTTTTCAGACTTCCCTTTGTCCCCACAGCTACACTCATCACATGTTGTCTAAAGCTATAAACAAAGACAAAAGGGTCAGGCATACACACTGCCTTGTACAAAAACAATTTTTTATTTTCACATGGAAACAACTTCTGTTTTACTTACTTCTTTGAAAAGGTATTGAGTTTGAAATATTCTTTGTTTAGCTCCCTAGACAAAGTCCAAGTGTGAATGGTTTTGCTATTACAGACATTCTCATGTTACACATGAAAGAGTTTTCTCTCTTAATTCCCTCCCTGAGAAAAAGATGAGAATCTGATGATGGTGCAAGGAATATAAAGCCCACTGTGAGCAATGGGAAGGACTAAAATAGATGCACAGATGACTTAAGTTTGGCTTAGTAAGTGCACATTGAAGCCAAGATTATGGTTTAATACGACAAGTACTAAAAAGTATTGTGATAAGTACTATGCTCACTCTAAGTAAAAATGAGGTTTACTTAGAATTCAGCTCACATTACTCAGTTATTTCACTACTCAGTTATTTCATTAGCCATTCAGTTTTGACACACCTATTGTAGGTAACATATAAAAAGATGTCTAACCTTTTTGGGAAAAGCAGGATGAATTCAGAAAACAAAGTGAAAAATATATGAAAGGCAACACATAAACAGAGGTTAAAATCTCCGAATTTTCCTAAACAGATTATAGTCCTCACTGTTGATACCAATGCTTGATCCAGTGCTGCATTTCAGAAGACATTAGACAAATGATTATGGGTGACAAAATCTATCTCACAGTTGTTCCATCATTAACAATTGACAATATAAAAAATTAACATGTTAGCAAAGCATTTCTTCAGCACTTTAATTACACCAACTCTGGGCGATACAGTGCAAATGTCTTTATTGTGGGATTTGCCCGGTGTGTCAAATTCCTGCCAAAATTCCCCAGCACATTTGGTGTTTTGACATGAGTTACAGAAGCATGTCTGAGAACTGTGGAAAAAATAATGCATAACATGTTTTCTTGAAAGAACATGCTCTTGATAGTAAATTTCATCTTTGATACACTGATAGCCCGTGTGGCCAGAGATTAATTTCTAACTTTAGGACATGCTAATTCCACAAGGATTAGTCAAACCCAAAGATTTGACACTCACAAGTGAGCTCTCTCCAATGAACTGTGCACCACCTCAGTTCCATATATTGATGTATCACCTGCAAGTCAGGTGATATCAATTTTGGACTTCAAAATTAGATTTAGAGCTTTGAAACCTGAAATCAAATACCCTCCAGGAAAAAAAAAAAAAAGTTAAAACACTTGTTCTCATTAACAAAAAACCATGGTGTTTTTAACGGGAAACACCTTCAACAACTACCGACTACACTGCCTATCAGGAAAATCGAAGGCAAATATTATAACACTTCAGGTCCTGCACAAATCTACTTTGTCATTAACGTGTCAGATGAGCCTTGGTTTTGACACACAGAGAATCTCTTTTCCCTAAAAAATCCTAAATTTCAAAAAACAAAAACCCTGCCAAAGTAAAATAGCTTAGAAATATAAAACCATTTTCATTGCAATCAAAATTATTCATGGAAAAAGAAGACTGATTTTTCACCACACATACTTGTAACACACAAAGGAACACCAAGGATAATTCTAAGCAGGCAAGCTAATTTTGCACTTTTGAACATCCCACCTGCTTCTTTATTACAGCTCCCATAGTCTCAAATACTCATTTTGCTAATCCTGGTCACTGGACACCATGGTGTAGGTGCTACAGAGATTTTTCAGTGTGTTCATTTCCTGCCATGATTTTGTGTCAGAGGCTTTCTGACACCTCTCACCAAGCTATGCCTTACAAGATAAGCTTGTCAGCATTCCAGCAGGCAAAATTTCATCCTACATTAGTGACAATGAGAAATGCTACTGTTTGAAGCTGACAAACTAAGCTTTGGTTTGTAGTTTTGAGTAATATTTCTCCTCTGGAAAATGTCAATTCCCAATTTCCTATCAAAACAAACAGTTCCTCTAGGCATAGAAAGGTCCAAGAAAACAACACAGCTGTAATTTTCAGGAAAAACTGTGTCTCACAATTCATACATACTTGTAAAATAATATCTGAACCTAGAACAACAAAAGTTCACTTATTTACTTCAGGCATTAAAAAAAGCAACCTCAGAATAGACTATTCATTATTATCATTAACAGTTCTGAATTCATTGTTACTATTAATTCCTGAATTTTAAATATAGGGAAGCACAATCACAATTAACTTTCACTATGCTCGTTGAACTTCACATTCAACATGCCCTGAGGACAAAAACTCCTATTACTTTATATCAAAAGGTATTATATTACTGCAGTGTAGTACATAATACTGTGCAATATCTGTGTCATATATTTACATATAAGAGTGTGTGTTGTATTGCACAGCACCACAGAACTTTCTGTACAGAGATTTCTGAAATTGAGGTATATAGACAGACACATCCAAGTAAATTCTAAGGCTGAGATTTTGCAATAAGATCATCTGATGTAAGTTAATATAATTATCTAGTGTCTCTCAGTTACTCAGCTTTCCTGAGCTTCAGGACACTAAAGAAGCTTCTTTGCCCCTTGCAATAACATCTGCAAAATGACAATACTATGTGTACTGTACCTCTCAAGGGCCCATAAACTGTGACTTCTGTCTTGACTGGCCTGAGAATACTTCAACCCAAGATACCATACAAACAGGTCTATGACACCTCGAAGCACAAGCTGATGTCAGAAGAAAACTTGTATATCCAAATAAAGTTTTGATCACAATAGAAGTAGTCAAAACTGTTTTCCTATTATGTTGAAGTACATAGCTTTCAAGAAGATTGTGATTCATGTTTGATACATGCCACTAGCACATCATGTGGTAAAATGAGAGAAGAGAAGAGAAGAGAAAACAATGTTTTAATAAAACCAAAAAATACCTTTAACCATAGAGCCATTCCATGCTGTATTTTTCTTTGGAAGACCATCACTCCTTCATATCCAAAATCACAAACATAAAAAATAAGAAAATAAACAGGCAACATTTTTCTTCTATTCCCCCTCCTAGCCACCAACATCCAGTAAGACTCTATTACACCAGATAATGTGTTCTGACCACCATCTAGCATCAACCTGCTTCCAGATGCAGCATCACCATTTTGAATTAATTATACCTATTATTTATTTCATCTCCACCCTCACCCATGTTCAGCACAGATACTCAGACCTGGAGCCCTCACTTTTGAAGGTCATTTGAGAATCCATGCTTGACCTAGAGCAAAGGAGAAGTCTTTCTGACTCATCCGTGTACCTTCGTGCCCAGAGCTGGTCTCCTGCACTCAGCGTTCGAGGCTTCAGAGACAGTGTTTCAAATTGCACATAAGTCTCTTTTGCAAGTTCAGCTTCCTTTGCAGACTTTGGTTTCAAATGAAGTCTTAAAACTTTGTAGAGTAAGAAAAATATCAAAGGTAAAACAACCACACATGCTGCACTGCTGGCCACTATCAGGATAGAAAACTCAGAGCTGCTTTCATCATTTAACCCATCAGTGGAGAAAACAACACACTGCTCTTTTGTAGGTGGCACGCCTTTGGGTGAGACACATGCCATATATTGAGTACTAGGTTGCAAACCATCGATTGTGACTTTGTTTTTGTTAGAATCAGTGCTGAGAGGCAACATATCCTTCTCACCATACTTGGAGTATAACACAGTCACAGCGGAATTACCTGTGGCATTGACAGTTTTCCAAGTTAAGGTCACTCTTTCATCAGATTCACTGATCACTCTTAGGTTCTTCACAGTAACATTTTGCTCAGCCACACCTGCTGTGTTCAATGAAGTATCCTCACCTTTCTTGCTTGAATCTCCAATCTGCTTTCTGTTTCCATTTGTCACTGCCTTTGAAACTTTCCTTCCATCCAACATGAGCCTGGATTGCTTTTTGTCAGTAAATGTCATGCTGGTTGATCTTTCAGTACTCACCAGAGCTGTGGTGGTTGGTGTGATGGGAAGAGGTGTGGTTGTCCTCTCGGGCTCCTGCTTGGATTCCTCCTGAGTTGTATTCTGCCTCTCAGCCTCTGGCTTCCTCCCAAACTTCTGTGGTGACACAGTTGTAGTAACTACACCAACCACTGTGACAGTCACGGCAGCTTCTGACATTCCTGCCAAGTTCTTGGCTTTACATCTGTATTCTCCTGCGTCCTTGTAAGAAATTCCTGTCAAGCTCATTATGGACCACCTAACACCCTCTCCAGGACTTTCTTGAATTACTATGGGAAAAGGCAAAGAGTAAAACATTATGAATAGGAAGTAAAGAGGAAGTAAACATTATTAGAATACTTCTTACCTTTCTGCCAGAAGGAATTACGTGTATGGAAATTTTAAAATTTAAACACAAGCAGTCAAAAAAACACAACAACACAAAAAATCAAATCAAATTTCCAAAACAAACTCCAAGCCATACTCTATTATTAAATAAATATGCTCAGCTTGGGTCAAAATGGAAATAAATGTCTAGAGTAATTAGAATATAGTTTGTAGTTTCACTAAGAAAAACAAAACCACATAAAGTGAAATCAAATGTCTTAAAGCTGCTATTGACTCTTAAATACAAGACCCACTGACTTCCTGTGACACTTACCATGCTACCCATTTAAAATGCTATTGGAAATTTCCTTTGTCCTAAGATATTTCAGTTCTCTTACCTTCATCAGACTTATGATGACTGACAACTACTTGGCATTAGCAAGTAGCATTTTTTACATTTAAGTTACTACATAAGTATCTGTCATAGCAGCTAGAATTATGTCAGACAATGATGCCTTGCATCAATTGCACACAGAAAACATGAATTTGGAAAATTCTGTGTTTATAATGCTGAGTTTTAAGTTGCTCAGTTATGGCCTCACTGGCTTTTTTAACATGAACATTTTCAAACAGAAGTTCCAGCAAAAAATTCTCCTTTCTAGCTTCTGAGTTGGGGTCCAGCTAACCCAAACTCCATTTCCCTTTATCCTTCCCCCACTTCATCCATTTCTCCCTTCCACACACATTGTTCTTGTAACAGACCACATCCACAACCAAAACAGTCTGCTGAACCTGTTAAGACCGAGAACTAGACAGAGAATTCCATAACAGATACAATTGCCAGCTTGACACAATACATGGTCCATTATTACTCATTACAATGATCTCAAAGCATAAGCAACCCAACAATGTTTGTTTCTCCCATTTCCTATAAAAGAGCAGTTATACCTGTGTAGTTCACTGGAATATTGTCTGACCTATTCCAAGTGAGCTGTGGTGTTGGGTAGCCCGTGGCGTCACAGCGTAGCAGGACGTTGCTGCCCAGCGGGGAGGTGATTTTTGTTGCTGAGGTCATCACAGATGGTTTAAGACACTGCTCTAACTCAGCTCTCTGGAACAAGATTCCTGCCAGGCTCTCAGGTCCACTACATGAAACCAATGGATCAAGAAGTACAACGGAGGTGTCCACAATTTTGGAAAATTCAATTAGCTTTGAAATGCGACAGTCACAGAACCATGGGTTGTCCTGAAAACCTGAGGCAAGGAGGGAAGTAGGGAAAGAAAACAAAAAGCTGTCAGTCAATATATGGATATTGTGATTACAGTATGACACATGACTACCACCAAATACAAACAAGGACAACCCTGGACCTATTCTGAGTTAATCTTTTCTCTTTCAACTTGTGGTTTTTGTTCAGCTGATTGGTGGGGGAATATTCTCAGAGGTTAGGGAGAACAGTATAAATGTTTATTAAGCTAAACTACTTCTTCACAGAAGTCTATGGGAGCATATTGATATGCTAGCATTACTTGTGCTTAACTTTGTTATTTATCTACCACATTCAAAACCACTTTGAAAACATGTCTTAAGACAGATGATACATTTTCACCTGCCTGTGCCTCCTGGAAAGACAGCTTCTCTTTGCTTTGTATCACTCTCCTCTCCTCTTAGTCCTTCTTTAGGCTCTTACAGCTTGACCTTCCCCGACTCTTTTTTCAATACTTGAGAATACAATGATTTAAGGGTGTAAGCTTACCCAACATCTCTGCCCCTTGAGAAGAAGGGATACAGGCTAAGGAGAAAAAGCTTTAGGCCAACAAAATTTTTATCTGGCTCCAAACTACACGAATATTGTTAGAAGCTGGCTTCACTACAGCCTCTGAAATATATTCAAGAAGAATAACAGAAGAGTAGAAAATAGGAAGGCCCACAAAACACCATAATGACTACAATATTTTTATGATGGCACACAAGAACTCTATCTCTCTTCTGTCAAAACCAATAATATTTGCTTCTGTCAGAGTCAATAACATTTGCTTTTTCCAGTATATGAATTAGCAACTTTTCCCTCTTTGTGAATTTATGGCGTTGGAAGAGATTAACCACTTCTGAGGAATATCAGTCTAAATCCTCAGCTGGTATTGATTACCCCACTATGTTGACTTTCACAGAACAGCAGTGGCTTCACCAGGTAAAATACAATACAGCATATCACTCAGGAGTTCAAGTATTTTCTTAGTGGACTCATACTTTTGAATATGCCTTTCTCATTTTCTCCAAGTACTACTAATAAACAAAACTTATGGTCTGAAACAGGGGATGCTATGCAAGGACCCTTTGCTAGTGAATTTACTGATCAGTACAATAAACAAGTCATATAAGCCAAAGCAGTGTTGAAAGAAAAAAGAGCCCTGACCACCTGCAAATATTTTTCAGAATGTAATTTTAAGAATCATCAAAACAGCTACTGGAAAAATAATGGGTTGTTCTGGAAAAACCTGTAGATGAAAGAATACATGAATTTTTGACTACTTCTTCCTTTTATCACCAGATCAAGATTAGGTTATTTTAAGCACAATGGTAGTGATTGGTTAAAACTATGGTAAACCTCAATTAATCCCTGCTCTTTAAAACAACACTTGACCTGAAGAGATTCCTTGACTTTGACATCACAATCCAATTTCACCCCTTCCAGACAGAAGAGATTTTACATCTATTCACTACTTATTGTTTGTGGGAAACAGAGAAGAAGTCAAAGGAAAGTGTATCAGCAATTGCTTTTCCTAAAAAAAATCTCCAAAACTTAAAAATTTTGCCTGTAAACTTCACACACATATTCAAAAGGAGAAAATATACTATCCAAGTGTTTTCTATATCTAGGTACATCAACTGCTTGTGCTTATAGAAATTCTGCTCAATCAAGCACATGTTTGTAACTATTTGTGCTCATCTTTTCAATTAGGGAAGCTCTGTAGTCAGAGACGATACTCTGGTAATTTTCTTTATCTTCTCACTTTCTTGCAATTTTCCTCACTATGTTGAGAAATTTATTGCAGGAAAGGAAGGGGTTACATATTGTTTTTAACCTGCTTGAAGCACTCAAAACTTTTGAAATAGAACCAAAGAATGGTTACATTAGAAAAGACCTTTAAGACCATTAAGTCCAACTGCTAACCCAGCACTGCCAAGTCCAGCACTAAACCATGACCCTGAGGGCAACATTTACTTGTCTTTTAAATACCTCCAGGAATGGTGACTCCACCACTTCCCTGAGCTCCTTCTCAGTGAAGGAACTTTTCCTAATATATATACCTACACAGCTTTCAAATTGTCCCAGTGTCCTGAAGAAAGGCCAAAGTCATTATAATAGGTATCAGAAATTGACAGAATGAAAGGAATGATGAAGCAACGGTGAACAGTCCTTAGATTGGATGGCTGCTCAGTCCAGCCTGGGACACAGGTTTGACCATCTGAGTGTAGGGCAAAGGAAGAGTTATGTCAGTCAGCCCTTCATCTTCCCCATCCATCATGCTTCCCAATGAAACTGCCTAAAGAAGCAGGATTTACACAAATATATATAATAGACACAGCTACATTAGTTCCTTCCTTGCCCCCACAGCACAGCCCCTCAGTTTATCTGTGTCTTGCCAATATCTGACAGTCTTCACACTATTTCTAGCCACTGTAAATCACCAAGTTATGTGAATTCTCAAAATGAAAAGATGAAAGCACTATTGAGCTGGAAGCAAGATAAAACACTGAATTTCAGTATACTTCAGTTAGTGTTGAAGAGAACAGAAATATGACTATAAACCTATTTTCCAAGGTACAAGGAGCATTTTGAACTTCATTCAACCGTTTGTACTGACAAGATGTTAGAAGTGAGAACAAACGTGAAAAAATAAAGAAAAGGTTAAAAAGGGGGAGGGGAGGGGAATTAGAAAATGGAAAAGATTAGGGAGCTTTAATAAAAGAAATAATTTCTTAAGTAGCAAAAATGAAAATAATTATAAATCTCTGATGGCACACATATCTGAGGAAAGAGAATGTCTTTATAAACCCTGGATTCTTTTGTAGAAATATCAAGGCAGCTTGTTGATCTGAGAAAGAATACTAGCAAAGGCAAAACAAACATTGATAAATATTTATGAATTGCTATATACCAATGCAGTGCTATTTTAATATTAATTATTAATTATAAATTGTTCTAAAACCCTTTATTCTAAATTTAGCATATTTTATATTTACTCTCACACATTCATATGTATGCTTGCACATACAATGTCAAACTTATGTGTGTCTGTGCATGCACATTTTTGTAGTCTTCTCGGTAAGCGGGGTTTCCCTGGACTGTGTCAATATGGACTTTAGCTATGAGCAAAATTTCCTTTGTAAATCAGTAACCAGACTCAGACCATAAACTTGTTTAACCCACTGATTTTTAGTTGCTGCAAAATAGCAAGACGTCAGGTTTTGGGCTGATAGAAATATTCACCACAGCTTGGGTCAGCCTACCCCAGGCTCTTTCCAACTGAACCTACACATTTTGATCCATGGTCCTAAACAGTAAATTCCACATCCAACACTGTCACACCATTTTCACCACATGCCAGTTGCTAAGGGAGTAGTTTCCAGAAAAGCAGTATCTACCCAGTGGATCAGCATAACAGGTGGGAGCCTGATGGACCTGCAGTATCCCAAATTTTTGGCACCTCTGCATGCAACAGAAGCAAGATCTCAGATAACTGCCACTCTGTCAAATATCGGACTCTTCTGTTCCTCTCAGGGACTCACTAGATTCCCCCACATGAAAAATGTTACTGCCATCATTCCTGCCAGAAATGTAAATCTCTGCACAGCAGCCAGGGCTGAAATTTAGTTGTGATTTGGATCAAAGTATCAGGCTATGGCTCCAGAGGTAACCAAGAGGACCAGAGGAATTCACACACTGCTCCCCCAGTCATTTGTAATGTTTAATTTTTAACTCACTCCAGAACTTTGTTCTGAGCTGCCCCAGAGGGCAAGCAAGCTTTCCAAGACAAAGCCAGACATGGGTCCAGGGACAGCTGGCACTCCAGGGTTGCTCACTGAAAAGTTTATGAATGAGACCACAGCAAGGATGGCTCTCTCTCTATCCTGTTGTTTCCCCCAAAGTGCAGCAGGTTTTGTACCTCCAAACTATTCTGCATATCTGTCAGCCCTTCAGGCATACAACATACCCCTGCTATTTCATATTCCAAAAGCATAGATGAATGATTTCCAATGCAATTCTCACATAACTTCAGACAGGTCAGACTGAAGAAAAAACACCTCCATGCCCAGAATTACATTTGAGAGTCACTGTAGCATCCTGTAGAGCCCACAAAGAACCAAGGGCTAAATCTTACAAAGAGTGGAACAGACAGTCAGCTTTAAAGAGAGCTGCCCCTAAACTGTGTGGATATGAGCCAGAGTGAGCCACTTGGCCAAAGGGCCAAGAATCCTTCCCTAACCCTCTTTCATTTAGCATAGTGCACACACAGAGGAACATCATGCAGTGGGAAGTAGTTAAAAAACCCAAACCTCTTAGTACAGAGATAATGAACTGGAATAAGGAAATGTTAACATGCCAGTCCTCTGGCAAAAGTAGCCTTTGGCTCCTCCAAAAGACCTTGAAGTAAACAAGGAGAACCAGAACTTTCTCATAGGAGAAGCCATCTTGATGCTCAGTCAAGACACCAAAGATAAAATTGCCTCCTGGTGTTAAAAAATACATTTGCACAAACATATGAGTTTAGGGCCTTGCTGGTTTTGATCTTGTTAATTACATGCACATGACAATCTTGTTTTGCCAGAACCAGAAGACAGCTCAAGTCATAATTGATTATACTAATTAGAATCTGACTGCTGCGTTCTTGACTAGACAAAACCAGCATTTATTTACTCTGGGTTTCAGCTTCCAGCAGAGTTCTGGCTGCAGTGATCATTCCATGTAGGTACACAGGTCAGTCTGAATGCTCCCCCAGAGAGTGGCTGGAGCACATAGGACACTCTTGGGCATCAAAGTGTGCAATTGTGGGCATTACATTTTAAGGGAAACCTTAAAATTAGGTTTAAAATTTTTATAGGTGTTGAAAGGGAACCAGTAACTATGGTACAAAATGAAGATAAAACAAAAATACCATGCACAGCAAAAAAAAAAAAAAAAAAAAAAAAAAAAAAAAAAAAAAAAAAAAAAAAAAAAAAAGCCAAACCAAACAAATGAAAAAAAAATCAAAACCAAACCAAACAAAAAAAAACCAAAACAAAAAAAAAAAAAAAAAAACAACACCAACAAAAAAAAAAAAACACAAAAACCTTCACGTTATATTAGAAGCTGGTGAAAGAAATGGTGTGAAAGAATGGTTAGGATGGCAAACAGGGAAGGAAAACCTATGAAAGCTTACAATAAGAGATGGTGATTAGTTTTTCTGTATGTCCATGCCCTGTAGGACAAAAGGTAATCAGCTTAGTTTGCAGTAAGGGAGATTGAGGTTGGATATTAGCAGAAACTTTCTCACTACCCTGATAGATAAGCACTGCAGGAGGTGACCATGGAAGGTTCTGGGGTGGTCTGGCCACGGCTTGAACACCACAGACTTTACCAGAATGGCTCAGCTCCTCTGGATCTGTATCCCCATAGGCTAGGTCCTTCCTGACCACATATCTCTGTGATCCCTATCTGTAGCTCAGAGGAGGAGGAGGATATCTATGGGATGCACTTCTTTCTCAGGCTCCAGCAAGGCCAGTAGAGAAAGGAGGGCCATCAGAAAGGAAGCACTAATACCCAATGGAGTCTAAGTAAACTTGGCAAAATAACCCATGACATAAAGAGCACTGCACTTTCTAATCTCCAGAGAAAGGGGATGTTTTCTTATTCACTATAAAGTTTCTTATGTAGCAAGCACTGTCTGTCTGCAATGGGATAAACTCATAGGAAAACTATGATGTCCATGAAAAAAAAAAAATTCAGCTAATTGAGTCACAGCTTACCCAGGGTAAATTTACTCAATATAACACAAGGAAAGTACCACCTGGCATTTTGCATTCTCAGGTGCAAATCTGTAATGGCTGCACAGAGCCTCACTTAGCACCTAACAGTAAAAGAAAAAAGGAGAAGCAAGGTTCTGTTTAAACCAGTGTGTGCTCCTCTCTGGAGGCCTGTGTTCATAATAGAAAATGGTCCAAAGGTCACATCCCAAGCCTTCAAAGAACTCAATGCTGGCATCAGAGGGTTTGCCAGGACTACAGGAGGCTGGAAAAGTTCCTGCACCAAGGAAGCCTGCAGATGATTCCCAGAGTTAAGGGGAGAGAGGAGTGTGTGAGGGTTCAAGATATTTTTGGTGCTTTTTTTTGTGTTGGGGGTTATTTTATTTTCTCAGTTCATTTTATTTTGCCTGAAGTGGTGAGGGCTATGTAAGACAAGGAAACCAATTAATCTCTGGGACTCCCACATGAGATCATGAGGATTAGATCTAGCACAATCAGCTCCCACTTTACAGCCTCCTGTAGTCTTCAGTGTGGGGACAGGGAAAGCAGTACTGAGAAAGACTTACTTTTACATTTTCACTCCTTTTTTTTTTTTTTTTTGTCCTGAATAAATAAAAAATCTTTAATGATGCATGCTTAGCCATACCTGTGAAGTCATGCAGCCTACTTGCATCTATTAAGTTGCTTATATAAAATATAAGAGAATGAGAGTTCAAGCTGCAGCTTCTGCTGTGAAACAAAACAGCTGAACAAATGGACACTGAATATTGGGAGTTTGGATCAAGAAATTGGAAATATTGGGCAGTACAATGCAGGACAGATCTTTACCAGTGCTTCTAGAATTACTGCAGTAGATACAGCCAGCTGGTTTTCCTCCCTTCCACCTGCTGCACTACAAACACATCAAAATATGCTCTTCTACGTAAACAGTGATAGAGAAGAACAGTATTGATAGAACTGTTCCAGCTTGAGGCTGAAGAAGAGAAAGGGGTTACCTTGGCAAGACTAGGAAGTGGAGATAAAGTGTCAGATAAAGCACAAGGTCACAAACAGAACTGATGCAATTGCATGCTAGAGAAGGGGATCAAATTATGAAAAAAATCAGTCAGACAAAATTATTCTTAAATACTTACCTTAGACACTTTCATAAAAAATAATATTAATAAATAGGGATCATACTCCTATTTTCTCTCATATTCAATATGTAAATTGCAAAAGACATCAGGATTATCAGTCAGCTTTAGAGTAATGCCAGGTCAGCAGAGGTCCCAGGGAGACCAGAGCTGCCCTCTTCTAAGCCACCAACACTATCTGCAGCATTGTGTCACAGGACAGGCTTTATAAGAGCATCAGCTCTACCTGCTGGCTTGGCTTGGGAGCCTCTGGAACAGAGCAGTTGCAAATGGACATGCTTACAAACACATACAAAGATGAGGGAAATGTCTCCAGAAACACAATGTAAGTCCTGTATTTCTATAGCTACTGAATGGCCTGTATTCCTGCAATCTGGATTCTCATAGCTTTTACTTCAGTTTTATAGCTTTGAGGTAACAACACACATGGAGTTAACTATCTTCATTTTATGGTTTTCTGTTACCAGTAGAAAATAAATAAACGACCACAGAGCAAACCACAAGAGTGTCCTGGGTAAAACCCCCTCTCCTGAATCCTAGGCTAGTCTCCTAACTGTTCTCACTTGCAATTTCATGTTCAGGTATATTTTGGTGAGGAATGAGACGGGCTGTTCAACATACCCAAGATTACTCTCTGTGTCACCAGAATGTCTGTGCTCTTGGACACGATAGCTCCTGAGAAGGGGGGCCAAATGTCCATGAGGTCTGATGGCAAGGTGGTCAGCTTGTTGCTGGATAGGTCCAGGTAGGTGAGGTTTCTCAGGAAGCGGCCAGCATCAGCGGGAATGCTGGTCAGCTTGTTGTTGTGGAGATCAAGAGTCCGTAAGTTGGGCATCTCGGCCAGGGATTCCCAAGGGAAAGTTGAAAGCAGATTACCATCCAGCCTCAGCTCGTGCAGCTGTTTCAAGTTGTAGAAGCTGCTGATATCAATGTTGGCTACACAGTTGTAAGTGACCCACAGGTATTTGAGATCTACCAGGTAGTAAAAGGCTTCAGTGGGAATCCTTCGTATGACAGTTTTCTCTATACGCAGTTTTACAGTATCCACAGGAACATTCACAGGGATCTCGTACATGTCAGGGTCATTACAGAGTACAGATCTAGCAACAGGAAAAAAAAAAAAAAAAAAAAAAAAAAAAGAGGGAGAGAGACATATTTGCATTTATTCACCAGAAATTTGAATTTCAGATTTAAATGCAAATGCTGTAACTTTCTGCAACACTACTACCAGAACAAAGAACACGGAAATCAAGAACAGTCCTCTGCATTTAAAAGTTGAACAAACTCCACAAACATGGAGATTCTAAAGAGAAAAATAATAAAAATCAGACCTGATCCTTTCACATGAAACCTAGATTTGCTTTATTCTAAAGTATATAAGCACCACCCTCTATCCACCCCTCACTCTAGTGACAACTGAAAGACAGAAGCCATTGTACAAAGAATAATACATGCATGTATCTCAAGTGGGAAATGCATGCCCCTTAATTAAAAATATCAAAATTCAAAATTAAGATTATTAATCTCTATTTTTTCTGTATGATGAAGATTCAAAGTATTTTCCATACTTACCTTTTGGAATAGACTGAAAATTGAAAATATACCAAAGAAAATTTAGTAAAGAAGAGCTTTCTGGCCCTCTTGTTGATGTCCATGTACAAATTACTTGCTTTATAGAGATGAAAAAAACTTTCTGCTGACAATGATTTCAGTGAAAAGGGATTTCTCAGCATTTTCAGTTACTGGATTTCAGGAAACAATTTCTTCAGGGTATATTGCTTACACATACTAGCTTGAAGAATTCTCTGCCTTCAGTAAGTCTATCCTTAATTTTCTCCCCCTTTTCTCTAGATTATTCCTCTATTCTACTTTTTCCTCATGCAGCTTTATTCCAGATAGCCTGTGACAATAAATAGCAATGACAAAGAGTATCTCCTAAAATTGACATGGCAATACCAGGTCACCACATTTCAAATTAACCTCCTTACTATCACTAATTACATAATTTACTGCAGATTAAAAATAAATAAAAGTACTGTATTTATTTAATCAGAATCATCTTACACTAGTTAACTAGTTTGTGGAAATAGAAAGGACATTACAATAGTAGGAATGTCATGGAGCAGAAAGAAATTGCCACCTGCAAAAAATGAAGATTTAGAGTAGCTATTTGCTAAGTACAAAGCCATAATCACCATCTGCTCCTGTTCAGGAATGCTGCTTGCCATAGAATGCTAATGTAAAATATGTCTTCATTGCAGCTATTCTAGAAATAATTTGCAATGTCTGAGAATGTTATCTCCAATTTCTTCAACCCTTTTCCTCATAAATGGCCCTATATAACAAATAATAAAATATATACCTTGTTCCAGTGCCATCACTTCTGCCATGGTAAACGCAAGTGCATTGTGAAGGACAAAAGCCATGAACTTCTTCAAAAAAACTCATTAGGAGGTAGAAGCAAATAAACAGATACATGGCTTCCTCCCAGAAGAACTGACATGAAGAAATGTGAAGGCTTTATTCCTAGGCATCCATGTGCAGTGTGCTACAAATGTGAATGTAGCCATCCATTTAGTAACAGCAGATTACAACAGATTAGCCCAGATCTGTGGTTGCTTAACCTTCAAATGTATCCTGAATGCCATCAGTTAAAGCAGCTCACTCTTTAGTCTGTCAGAACACACTCTGCTTCAAATCACATCCAACCATGCTCCAAGGTTGTTTTAATATGTAGATTGTAAAGTTAGTGTGTAATAAAATATCTATTTTCTTCTCCTAAGAGGCAGTGCATATATTTTACTGTCTATAAAGTGTTCCAAGGTTCCTGAAGGAAATCTAGTACACCATGAGGACATTGCGTGGCATTTTGTTTAATACTGAAAATGGCAAATTAATAGGAAGCCCAGATTCCAGAGCTTTCAAAAAATCCCGTAAAAACAGGGTTTTGCCAAAAATACATAAATGGTTTAAGTTTTACACTGCAAAGCCAAACTGCATATGCACACACACATAATAGTTGAAGCTAAATCTATACAGTCATCTTTTTCACCCTGAATAAATCTATTGCTCATATTGACAAAGTTATTTCTTGAAAATTAAACATCAGACCTACATAAACATAAGATAGACTTAGAAGTGATGAGAAATTACCATAAATATTTACTCAATTTTATGCACCTCCCAAGTGAGAAGCTTTAGGGTACATTTTGTCACATTTTCAGGATTTGCTGTGCAGTCACAAGCACTAGAAACATGCTACTTACAAAACAAAAGCTGTCTTTACTACAAATTAATTTGGTTCCACCAGTCAAATTTTTAAAAATACTTTAAATACGCTGAAATTCCTTCAAAACCCTAAAACCTAATAAAAGAGTCTATGGGGTGAGTGTAGATATTTTGACACCCTAACATATTCACAGAAACTGAACTTTGCAAAGCATATCAACGTGGACTTGGTATGGACATATACAGCCACAGGGAGTATCCAGAATATTTGAAGTCTGGAAACTTTCTAGGGAAGCTGGTGGAAAGTACTTCATGAAAGGAATTAATACATAAGAGAAATCTGGGGTTATTGAACCTAAGAAATTTGCACTTCTGTCTTTTCTGGCCCCTCTGTCACCTTGTCTAGCTCTGGAAGAGTGACAGTGGCCACTTTGCTACCTTTTTTTGTTTGGGACAGACATATTGGACCAATAAACCTCACTCTCAAACTAAAGTCTTGGCAGATTTTGTCTCCTTAGCTTCTTTAAAAAGATTACTGTGACTAACATAAACCAGCTAGCTAGGAAAGATTATTATTCAAAAAGAAATTGTCCAAAAGATTAATTAACTTGAACCCAGTTTTCACTCCTTTCCATGTAACTTATGCAGGCAAATGACTGGAGTTCTGCGATGTCAGTGCACTTTGAGACACACTCATGGGCAAAGCATTGTTTATGGTTATCTCTTGCCTTGTCTGACATCGCACCATTGCCAGGATCGCCCTCCGAAACCTGCCAAGGGCAAGAAAGGGAAAACAGAAAGATCATTAGCTGGAGAACCAAAGAGAAGGGAAAAATTTGGTAAGATGGTCTTAACTATTACAACAGTTTTCAATTTTAATAGAATATACTTAATAAAAAAACATGTATTTGGAATTCAAAAGGACCTGGATCTTTTTCAGTTCCAGGTGCAGGACTGTAAAGTTAATTTCATTTCTTAAATAGGGATCACAGCAGCATTTGTTTATTCCAGGAGAGCTTACAGCCATAACAAAGATGAACTCACAGAATGGGAAAAAAACACAGATGTTTTTCCATTGACTCAGCAGATATGTTCACCTAGGCAGAGATCACAGGCTCTGCTTGAAGGTTGGTAGCAGAGACGGGAAGAATGCCTCTTTGCAAAACACAGTCCTCAGTCAGAGGCACTGGCTTGATTAGAGACAGATTTGTTATGCTTACTCAAATCAGAATAGGCTTAACCTATTTACTTGAATGAAAAGGGTCAATCCATCCTAATCCATTAGAATATGATACATCCCAAGTCAAATACTAAAATCTACACCAGTTACATGTCACTAAGATGCACACACTTTGGCCACAGTCATTAAAACCAGTCTACTACTGATGCAACCTAAAATCTCCTTGAGAAAACACAAATGGGACTTTCAAAAGCTATGTTAGTACGTTCTCAAAAATATGTATCAATCCAGGGTGTTGCGATGATGATCATAACAATTTACTTTAGGCTTTTCTGTCCAAAAGGTCATCTTCAGTAAATTAACAGTGGCATACCCTTTGCTCTTCACTAATCAGCTTGCCATTTTTTACAGGTGATCCTTCTATACTCAGACGATATGCTAAAATCATGAAATAGACAAATTTCAGAACACTTACTTTTTGTTTGCAATGACATAAATGCAGGGATTATAGAATGTGGAAGATTTTGCGAAGAGAGGAGCTATGATGGCCATTGCAGGAGAAATTTTCTTTGGGTCTCCAAAGGAAGACCACAAACACACAACAGAATATGGAGACCATGCCACCAAGAACATTATAATCATCACAACAGACATCTGTAAAATGAGAGGAACGGATACATAACCAATATTACCTCAAGATGAAGACCTCACAGGAAAACCTCGTAACAAAAGCACATACAACTAGGTGAAAACAGAGCTATCCTGAATTAAATAACATATAACCAAGCACACCTGACACATTCGGACAGTTTACACTGAAATCTCACTTTGGGGATTTAATAGCACACCTCACTGCCATGTCTTTGGCATGGTGTCATTTCATTACGTGCAATATTCCTTCAAAATCAGCACTACTCATTCAGTTAAATCTGCCTATCAGGAGTTCAAATTTCCAGAGAGGACTTCACACATTAATTATGACCCCCCTAACAAGTCACTCTGGGATGCTATTACAAACAATAAATACGAACAGAGACAAAAATTTAAGCCAAATATTTCATTTGGCGCTGAATAAAAATGTTTTATAAGGCTTAATTATGGAACCATTAAATAAAAGAAAGCAAATGTTCCAGGACATATAGTTAAGGAACCCAGAAGTCTCTGCTTGGTTCAATGGAGCATCATAGACATGTTCAAGAATGATACAGAGGAGGTATCTGAGCTGTCACATCTTCTCTGCCTGCCTGCAGAGAGAACAAACTGGGCAGCTTGGGGCTCACACGCCAGGACATGCCATGCCACAGCCAGACCTGGACAGTGACAAACTGGGGGTAGTAGAGGGTAGGAGAGGTCATCAACTGAGACAGATTTTTCTGGATTTTGTCAGGTACATGAATTGGCAATGGAAATGTCATATGAATCAAGAGGACAAAACAAACCCCTAGAAAACCAACCAAAACTGCAGGGCTGCATACACACAGGATTCCCTAGTGCTGCTCACCTACACCCCCAGTTAGTCTTTCAGACATGAACAAAATGAGAAACAAGAAATAAACAGCTACTTTGTATGAGCTGCTGTAGAGCACAATCAATACACAAGCAGTGGCTCTCACAGAAGATCCCTATTTCAATGCAAACACAGTATCAAACACAATACCAAAATGTAAGAACCCTTTCATTTAGAAGTTTGGTGCATAGAAAGCTTAGAGGATGCTAATTTGCAAAAAGCAGATAGTAGTCCAGTTCTAAAGATGGATATTGCTTAACTCCAAAGCATTATTTTTTTCTCTTTATTTTTATTTATTATAACTTAGTGTCTTCAACTGCAAAATAGGAAAAATGCATTTTCTTCACAAATATGAGTCTGAATTTTTAACTGAATCCTCAGTTTCAAGTATTCTGAAAGTTCTTCACAAAAGTAAAACACTCAAATTACTCTTTTTAGGTAAAAATACTATTCTTCAGAACTTAGCAATGAGAAGTTTTTCCAAGGAATGCTGTTTACACTGATAAGTAATTCAAAAACATAGGTACATACTCTTCTGTCCAATTCTCTCTCACTTTTTCATCATGCCCAACCATAAATCACATCTTTACACAAAATCAAAGGAGCTGGTGAACTTCAAGATTTCTCAAGGACTTTTATACACTAAAAGAATGTCAACCTTCCAGGCAGGATATATCTTTTCATGCCATAACTCACATTTGCTACTGCTTACATAAGAGATAAGCTCAACAGACTGAAAAGAACAAGGGATTGGAATTACACAGCTTGGGAGCTGGAAATGCACTCTCTTTCCTAGGCCACAAGTTCAAGTGAGAGTTGACCAATCCATTTCAGACCAGACACATCTGTGAACCAAGCAGGAAGCCTAAGGACTCTGCAGACACACAGTAAAAGTTCTCCTAGGGCACCTTGAAGGTACATTTCTAGGTAGTGATAGAGGAGAGAGACAAGGAAAATTCACAATCTTCTTAGCCTTCAAAGTAGCTATTCATCTGGAGAGGGTATTAGACCAAAAATAAGGAATCTAGTGTGATAAGTCAAGCTAAGAGTTTTCACTAAGGCTCAGCATCAGCTAATATTTAGTACAAAAGAAAGGGGGAATGTAGAAAATCTAAATGCTTATAAGCCTGCACCACTCCTTTGCAAAAAGGACTTTAACACAAAGAATATGCTTTAAGCAAAACATGCACTCATTTACCTTTGTCACATCTACTTGGTCAGACCAATCTATGTTAATGCTCTCCAGGCAGTTACTGCTGGCATATCGTTTCATTGTCCGGGAAACATTGTAATAACAGTAAAACATGACTGTTAAGGGCACAACAAAATTAACAGCAATTACACTCATTGTGTAGGAAATAAAGGACCTGATAAGACAGAAAAACAAAACAGAGTAACTTACAAATAGCCATCCTGGAAAAGTTACCAAAGAATTTGGTATTTTGATTTGATTATGACATTTTTCAACGAGCTCTAAAATAATAAGGAAAAATTTTTTAGCTATTTTTTTTATTGGAAAGTACAAGTATTGAAGTTTTGAAGCATATCTCAGCTCCTACAGGGGTTTTTGCTAGACTTGCTCTATGTTATTTCTATTGTTTTAAATTATTGTTAAAAATTT